CATAATACACTATAATGACCGATAGTCTGGGTGACTTCTTGTGCTGCCATCTGAGTTGTTCTTCAGGGACACAAGCTGTGAATTTCAGCAAATGACCTGTTAGATCTTAGCAACGCTGTCTGAAGAGCTAATGCTAGCCAAAGTACCCTGGCTTTAGGGGGCTCATCTGTCAGCTTCAGGTGGGTAGATGTTCAGCACTGCTGACGGTGATTGTAAGTCTTGTTTTTGTCACAAATTGTACCATTGATGTTGTTTTCCTCTTTGACCAAAGCCAATATTGCTGCTGTCAGAAGAAAACCTCATATCTCTATTTCTGTCGTTTCTCAGTTTTTGACAGAATTAGAAAATACCTGTTGCCCTTTACATTGTGTGTAAATTTCATGAAAAATAAACCAAAAGAAACGACCCAGAACTACTTGTAAAAAAGTCTGGTTCCATTGACTTACATTAAAAGTAAAGCAGTTTTTTTTTCCCTTTTCCTGTAAAGTTACCATTTTGGAGATATGAGGCAGAGTCTCTCACACTCCTTAAACGTGAACTTGTGTACTCGAGTCCAAGGCATTAGAGTTGAGTCTCGATTCTCACCTGGAAACAGACAATCAAATCTTTTTGGGATTGTCTCCCAGCCCCAGTTTCAATCATGAAGAAAAACTGCTTAACAAAACAATAAATCTCTCCTGATTGTAGATATACAGTACCGAGAGTCCGAGACCACCCTTTATTTCATTTCCAGTCAACACAGCCACTGAGTAAGTTATTCTTTTTCAGGAGATTTTTCTGAGAAGATTTAAGAAATAACCATTATCTTGGAAAAGTTGAAAGAAAATAAGAAGAAAATCTGAGTTTCTAAAACTGGAGTTTGAAAAATGATTAAGAGCTACAGAGAAAAGGTCACTCCTAACAACCACCTGGAAGACCTGGTAGACACCAAAACTGCTCCCATCAGATAAACAGCACTTAAAGCTTTCCATCTTTGAGAGAGAGGAGAAAATCAAGCTCCACTCTTGAGATTGGAAACAATCCACAAGTGTCTTGTAAGTTTTTCTATGTGATGCTGTAATGGTACAAAAGTGACAAATCTGGGGAAAAACAGTTTCTGTAAGCACTATTTCTTGCCTTTTACCCTGCATGTACCCCTTGAGAGCAGCCTCTGGCCATGAAATTAGGCCAAAGGCTTCTCTCAAAGGAGGCAATCAACATGTCTCAGGCAGCATGCAGTGAATTCATAACCATTTCATGTAAAAACTTTCTGAGAAGGAGCTTTTAGGGGCATTCAATTCTTCAGAAATGCTCAGTCACCAGCACTGTGAACAGTTCTGATTCTAGTATGGTGCATTTCACAGTAACCCCACACTGTATTAACCTTACAGTGGTTTAACTTCAAATTCAGCGTTCTGCGGTACCGACCCAAAACAATAACTGTGCAATAAGGTTACAGCAGGGGTGCACGACTCCGGTCCTGGGGGCCGGTGTCCAGCACAGTCTGGAGGTTTACTACTCAAACACACCCACTGAACCTGCCAATTAAAAGCCAAGTACAATCAGGTGTGTTTGAGAAGGTACATCACCAAACTGTGGTGGTCACCGGCCCCCCCAGGACCGGAGCTGTGCACCCCTGACTTACAGTCTGCAGTGTATCTCAGTGTATTGGCCTGGAAGGAGGGGCTTCTTTGAGCTGCCATGTGCTGAGGCTCATCTACTGGAAAAGCGATAGGGTGGCATGCTTTACAGCCGCTGCTGGCTGTGTCAGCTGAATGGGAATCGCAGGCTGGGAGCTCCTTTAGTGCTCAGTCAGTGGAACAAACCTTGACTTTAAGTTACACATGTAGGGCACAGGAAACTCTACCTTTCATAAAAGTGTCTAAATGAGGATAGATGTTTTGTTGGGATGGTGAAAAAATAAAAGACACATTCTGACGATCGCTGACGGATCTGTTCTGAAACTGGTTTGTTGTTGACATTTGCCTCAAGGTGCCAGCCTAACAGGCCTCACACAGAGTTTGCCTACAGGCTACTAAACTCATCACCTATTGTACATTTTTATTTCTTCCACAATGACTTGCAGTTCCTGCCTTTGAAGTATGTGTTACTAATGCACCTGCAAACTGATTATTTTCCACTGAAATGTGCTGCATTAATCAAAAAATATGAACTTTACCAAGCTGAAGGAAATGTTAGGGTTCATGTTTCTCATTGTCCTGGAGTTCTCAAGGTTTGGGAGGAAGACCACGCCTAAAGATCCTCCTTCCGACCTAAGGTTTTTAATCTCACCACCCCGTCTCCTCCCTGTACCTCAGTCCTATCTCACAGTCCTACCTACGCTCAACATGGAGGGGGTCTGGACATCTAGCTTAAAGCAGACGTTCTAGTGTTTGGTTTAGTTTAGCTTGCAAAACTAATCACCCTCAAATGATATGATACATTTTAAAGTTGATTTAATAATTTGGACGGCATCGTCAAAAAGGCTGCTAATAATAGTCGAATTTACAGAGCTCCTTTTCCAAACCCGAGGACACTTTACAATTCCAACACTGAAAGTCATATTCCGCTTCCACAGAAAAGGGGCTCCAAACTATGCTTCCACAGTCATATTCCACTTCCACAGAAAAGGGGCTCCAAACTATGCTTCCACAGTCATATTCCACTTCTACAGTCATATTCCGCTTCCACAGAAAAGGGGCTCCAAACTATGCTTCCACAGTCATATTCCACTTCTACAGTCATATTCCGCTTCCACAGAAAAGGGGCTCCAAACGCTGCTTCCACAGTCATATTCCGCTTCCGCAGTCATATTCCACTTCCACAGTCACATTCCACTTCCGCAGTAAAAAGGCTCCCAGCCCAGTCAAACTCCGCTTCCACAGTCATATTCCACTCCCACAGTCATATTCCGCTTCCGCAGTCATATTCCGTTTCCACAGTCACATTCCACTTCCGCAGTAAAAAGGCTCCCAGCCCAGTCAAACTCCGCTTCCACAGTCATATTCCACTCCCACAGTCATATTCCGCTTCCGCAGTCATATTCCGCTTCCACAGTCACATTCCACTTCCGCAGTAAAAAGGCTCCCAGCCCAGTCAAACTCCGCTTCCACAGTCATATTCCGCTTCCACAGTCATATTCCACTTCCACAGTCACATTCCGCTTCCGCAGTAAAGAGGCTCCCAGCCCAGTCAAACTCCGCTTCCACAGTCATATTCCGCTTCCACAGTCATATTCCACTCCCACAGTCATATTCCGCTTCCACAGTCATATTCCACTTCTGCAGAAAAGAGCGGCCCAGTCAAACCCCACTTCCACAGTGATTAGTATCCTGGCTTGTGGCCCAGTCAAACACTGCTTTTATGGTAAAAAAGGGTTCCCAGAGTTTTATATTTATATTTTATATCTTTTAATTCTTATAGAAATATATATTTAGAAAGAATTCCATATGATGTTATTATTAGTAGTAGTGGCAGCAGTTTGTACTGGGATTAGTATATATGTTGTTAGTATTACGCTAATCAGGGACGTGTAGAGCAGACTAAACTCATACTCAGGTAAAAGTATTGTCACTTCTGTGAAACAATGACTTGAGTAAAATTACCTCTCCACAAAACAACGTAGTAGAACTACAGGTCAGAAAACAGGAAATGTCTTCAGTTTCCTGTAGAACTTCCAGCATCTATCAGCATCATTAGGACTCCCAAGGCTTGGTGTAGGTCTGAGAAACCGTCCCAATGAAATTAAATATTAAAAAGTAATTAGAAACTAAATGATAATGACTAATAATCCCTCTTTGTGCAAACATACTTGAGTACAAACTTATTTTCATTTGAAAAACCCATGTAAGTACAAATTCATTACATGTTTACTTGATTACAGAGTACACCGATCAGGCATAACATTATGACCACCTCCTTGTTTCTACGCTCGTTGTCCATTTTATCAGCTCCACTTACTATATAGGTGCACTTTGTAGTTCTACAGTTACAGACTGTAGTCCATCTGTTTCTCTGCATACTTTGTTAGCCCCCTTTTACCCTGTTCTTCAGTGGTCAGGACCCCCATGGACCCTCACAGAGCAGGTACTATTTGGGTGGTGGATCATTCTCAGCACTGCAGTAACACTGACGTGGTGGTGGTGTGTTAGTGTGTGTTGTGCTGGTCTGAGTGGATCAGACACAGCAGTGCTGCTGGAGTTTTTAAACACTGTGTCCACTCACTGTCCACTCTATTAGACACTCCTACCTTGTCGGTCCACCTTGTAGATGTAAAGTCAGAGACGATAGCTCATCTGCTGCTGCACAGTTTGTGTCGGTCATCCTCTAGTCCTTGCTGGATGTTTTGGTTGGTGGACTATTCTCAGTCCAGCAGTGACACTGATGTGTTTAAAAACTCCAGCATCACTGCTGTGTCTGATCCACTCAGACCAGCACAACACACACTAACACACCACCACCACGTCAGTGTTACTGCAGTGCTGAGAATGATCCACCACCCAAATACTACCTGCTCTGTGAGGGTCCATGGGGGTCCTGACCACTGAAGAACAGAGTAAAAGGGGGCTAACAAAGTATCAGAGAAACAGATGGACTACAGTCTGTAACTGTAGAACTACAAAGTGCACCTATACAGTAAGTGGAGCTGATAAAATGGACAATGAGTGTAGAAACAAGGAGGTGGTCATAATGTTATGCCTGATCTGTGTATATGCAACTAGTTCCCACCCACCTCTGAGTATCACTGTGCTGCATTGTTACTGAACTGGTGCAGACAGGCTGCTAAAGCTGGCTTAAAACCAAGAGGAAGTCTCACTTCCGTCTGTTATTGTCACTGTGCAGCTCCATCTGTGTCAATATAAACTTCTTCCATCAGAATGTGGCTGTAATACATACTACCGTGTATCAGTCATGTCCTCCTCAAAGTCAAACTGAAGTCCAGATCCTCAGCCACACTCTCCTGTCGTTGACGTTGAGTGCTCCAGCTGCTCTCTGATTGGCTACTGAGCTGATAGGCGCGAGACACCTGACCGACTTTACCAACTGACCCATGTTTGACTTTGCTCATATCACGTAGGCGAGTTGGAGACGAGCAAAGGCTTTCACTACTGAAGGTAATGAAACTGTAATCTGCGCCAAGTAGGAAGGTAGTTAATGATTTTGCGTTTGATGATAATGAGAGCAGTGAGGGGAGATATTTTCAGCAGAATATGCTGGAGGGCGTGTTTGTTTGTTTGCTTGTTTGCTTTTTGCACTTGAATAAGTCAAGACTCTCGATAAGGAAATGCGCATTATTTTGATATGCAAGGCTGTGGGGGTGACCTGAAGTTCCAGAACAAGTATTTGGAGAGATTTCCTATTATTTCGACTATTTAATTGCTTTGCTACGCAGTTAAATCGTCTATCTGGTACATTGAATACGTACAATATGCATTACTTAAAGATAAAGAGCTATTTTGTCGTTATTTTATTATCATTATCCATTCACGATCCAGTTGCGCATGGTTTGCGTAATTACGCACTGGCGACACGGGCACCATTAAAAAGGCTTACTTTCATTGTTCGCTTTCAGGCTTCTGTTTGGCTCTTTGGCTCTTCGGTGCGGTGGTTATTTAGGGTTAGTAGTGTGAAGGCAGTCTGTGGGTCGCTGGATTGTTTCGCTTTGACTGCCATGTGTCCTCCCTGTTGCGCCTCAGCATCACTCAGCGCGCGTGTCCACTGCGCCCTCTTGTGGTGGAGAGGTGGAACCCGCGTTTTTGCACTACGTGCAGTGCAACACGTCAACACAAGTGCAGCGCTCGACCTTACCTGGACGTTTGCAAATGGAAACTGACGTTGCTGAACTTAAATAGAGTAGAAATGGAGCGTGTCCGGCCAAGTTTCCCTTCAGTGACTGGACATGTGGCATTTTGGACTCTTTTTGTGGCCACTTGTGGTCCTTTGTAGGAAAACGTATGTAAAGAAGTGTGGATCCAGAAATAAGCACCCCAGCAGCGTGCTCCCCCTACCACCCTCCTGTCCCCTCAGGGTGTCCATATTTATAACTAGGCCACAGCATGAGAAGTAGGTTGCAGTATCACTAATATACGCAATATGGCCAAAAGTATTCAGACACATCTTCTAATTAGGAATTCAGCTGCTTTAAGGTGCACCCATTACTGTTTAATTGCATACAGCTTTTATAATCTACATAGAAAAGCATTGAAAATAGAATGGGACACTCCGGAGCAGCCGCACACGAGCCTAAGGTCATCGTGCCTGGTGCCAGGCATCGGCTAGAGGGGTATAAATCCCCCAGCACTGGGCTGTGGAGCCGTGGAACTGTGTTGGAACTCCTTTCAAGACCTTTGGGATGAGTTGGAGTGATCCAGAACTGACCATCCTGACCCCACTAATGCTCTCATGGCTGAATGCAATAAATCCTCACTGCTATGTTCCAACTTTCCCAGAAGAGTAGAGGATGTTACTGCAGCAACAGCGGACAAACTCACTATTAATACCCTTCATTTCAGAAGTATCCTACATTAAAGTCCCACCTCTGCTGTCCAGATGCTGTCTACCCGAGCTCTGGTCCGGGGGCTGCAGGCCGGACTCTGGAGGAGAGTGTCCACCTCCACTGGTGCACTGGCTGCCCACGCTCATGGTGAGTTATGCATCCTATTCATTCTTATCATGCATGCAGTAAAGTGTCACGTGTCTTTCTCTCTTATTGACTTTCATTTTGCCTGCTTCCTGTTTGAGGCTACATTCGAATCTGCTTTTTTAAGGCCTGCCATGGAACACGGGCCAAAGTTCAGCTCGGTCAAGTCAAAACAATACGCTGTAATAAATCCTGTAACAAGTCTGGCTGCAAATTTGCACAGTTACCTGTTAAATACAAGTGCATGTCTGTAAATGTGGTCATATTGTCACAGTGAAAGGCCTCAGATTTAGTTATTGCAGCCTGTCAAGCACTGATCGTTTAGCACTTGCCATTTTAATGGTCATAGTTAAACCTTGCTGACTGGAACTCATTGTTGCTACCTGGTAACTTTTCAGATGAAGGATAAAAAAAAACTTTTTAACTTTTAAAGAGGAATTGCACCAGTTTTCTAACTTTTTGGCTAATTTAATCACTGAAATATAAGCAAAGTCATTCCAAGTTGTTTGATGTGAAATGGTGCATTGTAGAAAAACGTAAAGATAAAATAGTGGTAACTCCAAAAAATACATTTTCTTTAGGTGATATTTTGCTCTGCATGTACCTCTTTACCATGAATGCATCTTAAAATTTAAAGGCCACATTAAAGTGAGGGAGCTTTTAGAAGCATTGAATGCTTCAGATGTCTGGTTCCTATCACCACTACTGTAAACAGTTCTGACTCTGTAAGTTGTTCTAGGATGGAGCATTTCACGTTGAACCACCCTGAACGACTGTATATGTGGTAAGGATTGAATTGTGGAGAAATTTTTAAGAGTACGTGGCATTCTGCTTTTAATGTAGCTTAATGTAATGACACACACACACACAGAACAATCTGTATAAGCGTCATTTGTAATCCAGGGGAATCATATATCGCTGCTGTCGGAAGAAAACCACTTTTATCGTTTTTCAGTTTTTGACATAATTTGAAAATACCTGTCGCCCTTTACATTGTTTGTATATTTCATGAAGGACGGACCAAAAGAAACGGCCCAAAATGACTTGGAAAAAAGTCTGGTTCCATTGACTTACATTAAAAGTAAAGTACGTTTTTTCCTTCTCCTGTAAAGTTACCATTTTGGACATACAAGGTTTTCTTGCAACAACAGCAACATATATATATGACTTGACTACCATTGATGGTTTCCTCGTTTCTTAAACATGCATACAAATGGAATTTCTTAGCCAAAATACAGTTAATTAACAGAAAGTCATGTTTTGTCACATATGCTGTTATTTCCAGGCCTTTTTCTGTAATTTTAATAATATTTTCCCATATAAACAACAGACAGAGTCCTGTAAAGCATAACTGATTAGATCTACCTCAGAGTGAGACTTAGCTCTGTTTTAAAACACAGGAGCCCATTTTGGTGCCTGAAGGGTCAAAGTCCAGCCCAGTTTGGTGCTTCCCCTGCTCTAACATGTGCTATAGCTAGTTATTAAGTAATTCTTTGGATCAAATGTTTGCGCAGGGAAATGACTAAACCAGGAGGCGGGAAGTTCATCTGTTGGCTAAGGGTCATAACAGTGCTAACAGGTAGCAATTGGATGCACCTTTTCTCTTTTAACAAGAGAGGGCGCTGTTTAGCCATGGATGTCTCTGGCGTTGATCTTTCATTTAGTTAATACTGTCTAGTGCTGTTTTTAGCCTCAGCCGTGGATGTGATTGACTGCAGCGTTCCTCAGTACAACAACCGCCTGGACACACCACTGCCCGACATCCCATTCATCACAAATCTCACTCCCGAGCAGAAGACACTGAAGGAGAAGGAGAAGGATGCGTGGACCAATCTTACCAAGGAGGAGAAACTTGCACGTAAGAATCAGTACCATCACCATCAGTGTGTGTAGCCAGTAAGAGTTTGACTGTTGAAGGCCAAAAAGACAAAATAGCTGTCATTATATAGTTTCCCTACATATGAATCAGACTGTTTAGTCTTTAAATACCCTGAAAAGAATTTAAAGACTGTCTTCACTCCAGTGATCCCTAAATCTCTTCTGATCTGTGTGCCACTCTTTCTTACAAACCCAAATCCAAGAAAAGTTGGGACAGTAGGTAAAATGCAATTAAAACCAGAAATCAGTGATTTATGGGTCTATTTTGACCTGAACTTAATCAAAAACAGTTGACAGACAGGTTATGTAGTGATTTATCTTATCAACTTTATTATTTTTGTAAATATTCACTCATTCCAAAATCAATGGCTGCAACATGTTCCATAAATGTTGGAACAGGGGTAATTTATGACTAGGAACATTGTGAAATGAAGAAAACAGTTAAAACAAGTGATGCAATCATGCTTGGGTACAAAAAGAGCTTCCAGGAAAGGACTAGTGGAAAATTCCACCAATTTTTTTCAGATTTCAATTGTTAAGATGTAAATAAATAGCCTCCAGGAAATGACTAGTGCTTTAGTAAAGACAATGGTTCTGTCCTATATAGAACCATTTCATGCTTAAATGGTTCTCTGCTTTGTGAAATGGTTCCTCAGATTGAGGGAGAATGTGTTGTATATGCTTCTATATAGAACCTGGTTCTAGATAGCACCAAAAAAGGGTTCTTCTATTGTACTGACATTGAAACAACAGCCAAACCCTTTTTATATAGAACCATTTTCAAAAAACACACAAAACATTCTTAAATAAAAAAAAAAACATACACAAAACATTCTCAAATGAGCCAAACTTCTTGCAGGCCATATCAAATGCTCTTGCGGGCCAACTTTGGGCCTCTCTTTGGGCAGCCGTGTTTTAAAGGAGAATTTTACCAAACTTTTTCATATTCAATTGTTGAGATGTAAATAAATAGCTTTCAGGAAAGGTCTACACCTTTATCAGCAAGAGTGGATCGAGGCTCGTCACTTACATAATGTAACAACATTCTTCAGCAAGTGATTGGAAATATTTTAGGTATTTCACTCTCCGCAGTGTGTAACATCATCCAGCGAAATCTTTGCGTGTAAAGGGCAAGGATGAACCCACAAATAAAGCCTATGACCTTCGAACCCCCCAGACAGCACCGGATTAAAAACTGACATGCTTCTGTGACGGATGTCACCACATGGGCTTGGGAATGCTTTGAAAAAACATCGTCAGTAAACACGGCCCATCACTGCATCCACAAAAGCAAGTTAAGACTGTGCTATGCACAGTGGAAGTCATGCCAACAATGTCCAGAAACGCCGCTGACTTCTCTGGGCTCAAGTTCATTTGAAATGGACTGATGCACAGTGGAAACATGTATTGTGGTCTGATAAGCCTATCTTTCACACTGTTTATGGTAATAATGGACAATGTGTTCTCGGTGCCAAAATAGAAAAGGACCATGCAGATTGTTACCAGCGTAAAGTTCAAAATCCAGCATCTGTTATGATGTGGGAGAGCATACTTGCACATCATGAGCATCATTAATGTTGGACACATTTTGGAGCAACATGTGCCACATTTCAGCCCCATTAAGCCACATTCTCCACATTTTACCTGAAACCAATGGTAAAAACTTGTAATTTCTGAATTTTTTTTTTCAGAACAAACAGATCTGCTGTTCATGTTAAACTTTAAACCTGATTTGGAAGCAGTGTGGTTCGGCCAGATTGTTCCTCATGCTTCACCAATGGTGTGCTTATGTATCACATCTGGTGTGAATTCTCAGTAACATCATGTTGAACCTTTGGTTTCAGCTCAAGACTACATTAAAATGAACAGTTAGCTTGGTGACGAGGGGACTCAGCTTTTCTAGAACGTTTTCTGTCTGGATCAGCCTTTGCTTAAAAGGTTCACTCTGTTATTTTAGAATAGCTAAGTGGTTTCCCTGCCACCTCATTAGCTATGCAGCTAATGGAAGGGCTTGGAGATCCACTGCTCCCCGTACGTGGCTTTAGACGCCAGGATCAATAGTCAGTAACGTGTTTTGAAACTGTAATTGCTTTGTTCACACCACAGGGCTGGTATGTGGGCCCACACCTCACCTCCTCACTCTCATAACTACATACTGTTTACTGTTCACTGTTTACTGTTAAATTTATTGCAGTTACTGAATAGTAAGTCTCAAGATTAAGATTAAGGCCCAATCCCATTTCTTATTTTTACCCCTTCCCCTTGTTTTCAAGTGTCATCTTGCCTCTTGGAACTGAGTTACGGGGTAGTGGTTGAAATCTTCCCTCTGAAATGGGACCCTCAAATAAAGAAGAGCATTACTTCATTAACAGCTACCAGCGCTGCTCTGTAGGCGACCCTGCCAGTCTGCAGTGACAGCAGAGGAGGGTAAAGTTCAGCTCCTCACTGCTGGGCTTTAGTTACATTTAGGGCATCATATGCCTTTAAAGAGGGGGCAATTATTTATTATCACCACCCCTAATTCTTCAGTGATATGAAGCTGAAGTCAGATATTCACCAGCTTCTTGTTTGAATTTTCCCCCTCTATCTCAACAAGAATCAGGGACACCCTACCCCTAGACGTGAATGCGCAAAACGGAGGGCTAAGGGCTCAGTGGTAGAGGCGAGGGGTGAAATGGGATTGGGCGAAAGTCTGAGTGATTAAAATACTCAGCCTTTCTTAGCAGTTAGGAGAAGCTGTATTAATGCAAATGCCAACACTTTATGCTTTTATGGACACTGTTTGCCTGATTGCTTATCTGAATTTGCTGTTCAGTATTCTAGAGTTTCGAAATTCCTCACCGTTTCTATGCTGGATACTGATAAGCTAGTCTGACCTGTTGTGCATTTCATGCCTGAAGGGCAAAGACAATAATTCCTCATCAGGTATCGACTTTCTGGAAGAAAATGACTGTCTTCATTGGAAACAAGTTTCTACTAAATAGAAGGGCTGATTCCGTTTCAGTTTTTAGGTGTTGGTATTGCTTCACTTCAGGCAATAATATCATCTAAAAAGCATTGTAAGTATTGCAGATGTGTCTCAGGGGTTGTATCATTACTATCACAGTTTAACTACAAGCAGAGCAGGTGTTGTAGTTGCATGCCCGTGAGGTGGCAGTGTTGCCCACATGTCTGACATCAGCCATTCAGCCATTGCTCTGACAATGCTGCCATTGTACAATAATGGTAAATGACCATACAGGTAATTCAGCACATATGAAGCAGTAAAGCGCAGGTTTTGTGCATGCGAGCCCTTTGAAACCAGATATCATACTTACTGTAAGATGTTAATTTTGAGTTCTTGTGCAGTGTACAGGCTCTCCTTTGAACTGAGCTATGCTGAGATGAAGAAGGGATCAGATGAGTGGAAGACTGTGCTGGCCGGCATCTTCTTCTTCCTCGGCTTCACCGGCGTTTTGGTATGGTGGCAGCGCATTTACGGTGGGTATCTTTCTACCTATCTATCCATCCATCCATCCGTCCATATAGACAGACACTAACTGCGTTTACATGCGCTTATTTATCCGATAACTGCACAAAATGATAATCAAATTTTGTCAGTAATCTGATCAACACGTTTACATGCACTTGAGAAATCAGATAATGGGTAAAGTTTGGGTCTACATGAGTCAGAAAGTAATCAGATTTCTGCTTACAGAAAACTCACAGAACAGGACGTGATGTCAACATAATGTAAAACTCAAACTTCATGCTTGAGCTTTTTTTTTTTTTTTAAAAAAAAACATTGCGCCACTTTACATGAAAATATGAACATACATCATCAGAAGATGAAGAAAATTAAAATTAATTTCGTCAAGCATGTATTTGTATCGCTCCAAAAGTGTTTTACTGCGTGAGCTCTGCTCACTTATTTCTGGTACCGCCGTCTGTTTTTGCACATGCTCAGACTGAGAAATCCGAAAGAAATCAGAGTAAGAGTTTACATGCGCTGAGAAATCTGATTACTGAGCTAAAATCCAGCCTCTTTATCGGATTTCTTAATCAGATTTCTAGACTGGAGCAAATTGGAGTATGCTGTTTACATGACCATTTGAATAATCAGATAACTACAGAAATCTGATTATGATTGGATTATTGAGTGCATATAAATACACTCACTGTTGCAGAATTCAGAAGGTCATTCATTTTTTTATTTCTGAAAAGTGCTGCCTCCATCCAGATGTAGTGTACTGGACCACTTTGAAATGGCTTTGAGATTCTAACAGCAATTTAGGTCAGATTAAATTACTTCTTATGCCTAAATTCACTGTAATCTTCTCATATCTTAAACTGTTTTGACATCTTAAATCATTCCGCCAAATGTAGTCGATCAGCTATGTTTGGTATCCAAAGTCTGTTTTGTTAGTTTCATGCTGGAGCTATGAAGCTAATGTTATTAATTAGCATCATACAAGTTGTTTGCCTAAATCATCACCTGTCTGCCTTAAATCATGTTGAGCTGTTAACTCTGTAACATTAGCTCTGTATCTCTAGTGCTAATCCAGTTTAGAACTTCAGGGTTCTTCAGTAAAGGCAGTATTTAGAACCATGAGTTTTATATAACCATTTCATGCTGAAATGGTTCTGTGCATGCGTGGTAAAATGGTTCCTCAGATTGATGGAGAGTGTGTGGTATATGCTTCTATATAGAACCTGGTTCTAGATAGCACTAAAAAGGCTTCTTCTATTGTTATGAGCTTGACATTGAAACAATAGCCGAACCCTTGTTGGTGCTATATAGAACCATTTTCAACAACCATATGGGTCATTCTACAGAAATGTCCACTTTTCTATCTCTCCATAGGAGTCACTGGTGTTACCGATCCTCATCGGTGTTACACATAAGAAAGGTAACACCAGAGACATTTTTAATAAACAATTCATTTTACTAAATGGCTGCTACAGAGCATCAAACCACATGTTGTCAATCATGGAACATCCACTAAAATATGAAGTTTAATCCATTTGTATTCTATTTTTTCACAATGACCTCAGAATAAAGTCGGTCACACCAGTGACTTCAGCTAAAAGCTTCATATGAAATCATGAGCTGAATGAGAAAATCTCTGGTAACTGAAAGACACAGTGGACTCACCATGTGCTTTTCTTCATAGATCCTCAGAAAACAGGTAAAAGGAAGTCGAGTGATGTCATCAGTGTGACTTTTATTTCAAAATAAGAGATTTTTTGTTACGCGTTAACACCAGTGACACGACTCCTGGGGACAGAAACTTTCATTATATATTTTATAATATTTATTTGGCATTTGTTTTCTTTATGTCATTTAAATCATATATTTCATAGTCATGTATAGATTATTGCAGTTAAAATTTCAGAAAAACGTTTTTAATCTCAAAATATGGCCTCAGCCTTCACACATGACTGTGAGGACGAGCTCTTCTGTGGTGCTTGGAATTCTAGATAATTGATTTAAAAACCAATATTGCTAAATTGAGGCTCAAGAAGGTGTGATTGTTCAAATAACGTATTGTTTAAATTTAAAATATAATTAAATTGTAACCCTAACGTGTTTTTTTCAAGTGTAATATATCTGTAAAGGCTAGGGACACAAAAATGGACGTTTCTGTAGAATGACCCATATACAACATATTCTCCATCAGTCAGAAGAACCATGTCACCATGCAGAGAACCATTTAAGCATGAAATGGTTCTAGACACAACTTATGGTTCTAAATCATTGCCTTTCCTAAAGAACAGTTCTTATGCAACATATGCACTACATCTTAAGCCTCACTCTGACGTGTCGGTCAGCGACGTGTCCTTGGGTTTTACTCTGTACTCAGCCCACCTGTGTGCTGCTTTCTCATAACATGACTTACTCCGTTCGGCACACAGCTGAGGTCCCGCAGCACTGCGGCTGGGCTGCAGTGTGTTAGAAATGGGCGAGCGAGGAGTGTTCTTATCTTTTTCACCTGCAGTACACGCTCCCTCTCTCTGCTAGTCAGGCCTTTGTGCTCGTGCACGAATAATTGGGCTGAGCTGTGTGTTTGTGGGCAGTAGTTCAGGAAAGAGAGCAGAAAGGGAGAGAAGACAGGAGAGAGATTTAAGTGAGCTCTGACTTCAGTTAAGAAATCTCCAGCCTCCTTGCAAAATGAGCGCCTGCACTCTTCCCAAGGCTGTCTGTGGGTGTTTTAGTGTGCAGATGATTGACGGAGAGCAGCTGTTAGTGAGCGTGACAGCACACGTCTACCTGTACAAAGTCAGATATGGCAATATATTGGCTTTCCATACTACAGTGTCCTCCGCAAATACTGCCAATCATGAGCAAAATAAGCCGTAAAATTATTTTTTCTTTATTTTATTTATTCTTAATTAATCATCCTTTTGGTCTTTCATTCAAAATATTAGCAAAAATGTAATCTTTATTTAAGGTATGAAGATTGAAAGAAAAAAAAAGGTCAATCTTGTCACGAAATAAATATTTTTCTTAAATCTTAAACTGTTGGCACCCCTAGAAATTCCCGCTGAAGAATATTTCCATACATATTTTCTGTTTTAAAGTTCACCTGAGTGATTAGGAACAATTAAATGCTCAGTTGTGACTTCCCGTTTCACTGATTAATATATATGAGATGAAACTCAGGCCAAATTCCCTCAGCCATCCTTCATTATGAGAAAGACCAGAGAAAACATCAGTGATGTGCGACAAAAGGTCGTTGAGCGACACAAATCAGGAAACGTCCATGTCCGTGTCCACTATCAGGTCAACAATTAAGAAGCTTTAAACAACTGGAGATGCTAAGAATCTGCCAGGAAGAGGATGTACATCTGTACTGACCCACACAGACATTAAGGAAGATGGCTTCCGTGGATAAAGAATCTCCAAGGATCACAGATGGGGAATTACAGACATTAGTCAGGACTTGGGGTCAGAACGTCTTCCAAACTACAGTTAACCCTCTATTGCACAATGTTGCCTCAGGGCAACAAACATTCTCCTCACTTTCCAGTAACCTTATACATATTTAAGGATACTGACAGGGTTAACAATAAAGGGCAGAGTTAGTAAAAAAGCACTTGTATTTGGTCATACTCTCTCTTAGTGGGCACTTTCAAACCTCTTTTTAACATTCAGTATCATTTTTCAGTTATGTGAATATGCAGAAATATGTTTGTTGCCTAGAAGCAACATTGTGCGACAGTGAAATGGATTTAGCCAGTAACAAGCAAGGTCTCACCACTTCAGGGAACACGGATCTATATCATTTCGTCCTATTGTCGCACAATGTTGCCTCAAGGCAACATACCCAAAAGGACCCCTGCACAATTTATTATTTAAAAAATGATTTGAATTCAATAATCAGGCAAATTTTATGCAAGAAAAGTGAATTGGATATATTTTTTTAAATTGCTCTCATGATCCGTGCAGTTGAGGGTTAACCAGCTCTATAACAACAAGTTGTTTTTTTGGGGGGGGTGTTGGCAGAAAAAAGCCTCTGCTGTCAAGGTCCTACAAGAAAGTTACTGGTACTTTCTTACTGGACAGATGAGACCAAAAACGAACACCAGAAGTGAGTTTAGTGTGTAAACAAAGATAGCCATGCAGAAAAGTACCCCATCCTCACTGTGAAGTATGGTGGTGGATCTGTGTTACTGTGGGCCTGTTTTTCCACCTCATAACAGCAGAAATAAAATCAAAACCTGACTGCCTGCCAGGAAGCTTAAACTGGGCCATGGTTTGGATCTTCCAGCAGGACAGTGATTGAAAGCACACCTCAAAATCAACACAAAAATGGTCAACCAACCACAGAATTAAGGTTTGCCATGGCCACCCCTGTCCCCTGACCTAAACCCCATAGAAAACCTGTGGGATGAGCTGAAGAGCTCTCTGAGGAGAGTCCACAGTGTGGAGTTGTAATCTGAAGGATATGGAGAGGTTCTGTATGGAGGAATGGACTCAGGTCCTTTGCCCTGTGTTCTCCAGTTTCATTAGGCATTACAGAAGAAGACTCAGAATCTAAGTATTAAATGAAGGGGTGGCAACAGTTGTGGCATACACAGATTTGAGAAAAATATGTATTTCTTGATAAGATTTAGATTTAGATACAACTCTATAGACATATTTAGAGAATCTTACGATCATATACAAAGTTAATAATTCACATGTAAATATATACGTATGACATATGTAACTATGTGTCAATGTACACAATATGCCAAATATATATAGGTATATATTTAGCACAATATGCCAAATGTATATAGATATATAGAGATATATACAGCTGTATAGTGATATACCTATAGCTATATTGTTATGTATGTCAAATATATATGACATATTGCTTTATACATATGACATACAGTGTCTGTCTACTATGCAGTAATCAGAAACAACCATTCATTTATTTAATTTCCCATCAAAACAGCTGTTTGGATACAGAACAAATGTAGAAAACATATATTTAACAGAAAATTGCTGTTAAATTAATGATTCATTTTGGGAGACTTGCTTTCAGTTTTCCACATTTACAAATTTTAGTCTTAGAAGTTGGTTTTGTATTTTCTCACAATTCAAGTTATCCCAAACACATTCAGTGAAGTCTGGGCTTTGTATGCCAAAGATACGGTTGTGAACTAAGTGAAAATAGGTTAAATATTTAATGTTTCTGCAAATTTTATTGCTCGGTTTCTATTTATTTGCTGATTGTAATATAAATATAAAATTGACCAAATGAAAACTTTTTTTTTCAAATTTCCCGTATTTTCCAGTATGTTAAATGCAGCAAATAAACAGTAGTTGTGTGTTAAAATGTGCGGAGGTGTGTCTCTGTAGAGGACGTGGAAACTTATTTTCATAGAAAATACAAAATATGTCATTTGACAAGGGGTGCCCAAACTTTGTGCATACAGCAGTATATATGCTATTTCGCTATATAGCAATATAGGTAGCTCTGTAAGTCAAATATATGACAGATATGGCTGTTGCTGTCAGATATAGCAGCATATATGGTGATACATCAGCTTTTACTAGGGGTGTTGTGCAAGAGAGAGGAAGAGATTGTGTGTGTGTGTGTGTGTGTGTGTGTGCGCATGTGTGTGTGTGTGTGTGTGTGTGTATGTGTGCGTGAAATTTAGAGCCCATGTCGGAAGCAGCCTAGACTCTTGCATCTCCCATCTCCTGTCTCGGAGGCCTCAGCTCTTTGAGGAAGGAAGTCAGTGCTGCATCACCTCAGGAGAGACGCTGCAGAGGGAAAGAACATGAGTGCAGAGAGAGAAACAGACAGACAGAGAGAGAGAGGAGAGAACAAGAGCGAGACAAAACAGAGGAGAGGGAGAGAGGACATGGCTCAAAGCTTTGAGCCAAGGTGAGAGAGGGTGAAAAGAAGAAGTAGCTGAAGAGAAAGAGTTGGAGGAAAAAAAAGAAGTCCAAAAGTCAGTTGTCGGTTGAGAGTGGGGTATTTCCCACTCTGCTCCGCCTCGTGAACTTGAAAAGCCAGGAGCGTGCGGCGCAGCTCAGGGGCCGCTGCTCTGCTGCCTCATTAGGGGGCGTTAAGCACTCGTCTGGAGATTTAAACCTGCGGCAGGCTTTAAGGAGGAAAAGGCTGATGAAAGAAGCCGCTTAAACTCGTAGAAGTGTAGAGTTATTAATGTCTTTTTTACTATAGAAATGTAATTACATCATTAATTACATGCTTGTGTAAGGAATTGTCTGCATTTACGTTTGATTGACGTTGTGTATTGACAAGTACAACACAAATATGGATCATTCTAGTCACAACTATTAAAATCATTTACTTTGAGTGACTCTATACTTTAATAATGTTTATTTTATGAAAACGAATGATTAAACAATCAATTTTGTCACTACCAAATCAATCATAATTCTACCCAAACTTTACCAAATGTTTCTGTAGTGACAATTTTAGCTTTTTTTATCAGCTCCACTTACTATATAGGTGCACTTTGTAGTTCTACAGTTACAGACTGTAGTCCATCTGTTTCTCTGATACTTTGTTAGCCCCCTTTTACCCTGTTCTTCAGTGGTCAGGACCCCCATGGACCCTCACAGAGCAGGTAGTATTTGGGTGGTGGATCATTCTCAGCACTGCAGTAGCACTGACGTGGTGGTGGTGTGTTAGTGTGTGTTGCGTTGGTTCGAGTGGATCAGACACAGCAGTGCTGCTGTGAGTTCTTAAACACCTCAGTGTCACTGCTGGACTGAGAATAGTCCACCAACCAAAAATAACCAGCCAACAGCGTCCTGTGGGCAGCGTCCTGTGACCACTGATGAAGGACTAGAGGATGACCGACACAAACTGCGCAGCAGCAGATGAGCTATCGTCTCTGGCTTTACATCTACAAGGTGGACTGACAAGGTAGGAGTGTCTAATAGAGTGGACAGTGAGTGGACACAGTGTTTAAAAACTCCAGCAGCACTGCTGTGTCTGATCCACCCGTACCAGCACAACACACACTAACACACCACCACCACGTCCAAATGAACCATTTGCTTCCAAACAGACAGGAACAGCACAACATTTAACTCTACTAAGACTGCAGTAACAACACTCCATATCACTTCAGTGTGATTGGGCAGCTGAACTACTGTAAGCTGAATAGGTGGTCATACAGTCATGTGCAAAAGTTTGGGCACCCCTGGTCAAGTTACATGCTTTGTTGACTTTCTAAATGACAATAAGTTACACATCCTCCACAGTGAACACACTTCAGCACACTGTAATGCACAATTACCGTTCATTAGTTTGAATGTCAAGTGTAAAATGTGCCGGTGCAAAAGTGACGGCGCATTTTATATTTTATGTTTTCTTTTTTTCCAGTATGTTAAACTCAGCCAAACTACATGCATACATGCATACACTGTTAGAAATAAAGGTTCTGCGCTGGTACATTTTTCGTACATCGAGGTACGAACAGTGTAAATGTTCCCTCAAAGGTACAACAGTGGTTTTAAGGTCTGATTGTGAACCTTAAATAAGTTTTTCCAGGTGAAAAGTTCGTATTTGTACCTTTTCATAACCGAATGTTTTAAACAGAACAGTAAAATAAAAGCCTGGAGACGAGGCGGGGTGTGTGGAGTCAGTACAGCTTAGAACATATCATTTCAGTGGATTATGGTTCAGTTATGTTCCCTGACTAAAGGTACTGAGATGGACCCTTGAGGGAACCACCGCAGTGACAAGAGGGGTCCTGACCCATGACAGTTTAGAACATTTATTTCTGACAGTGTACATACATACATAAATAAGTGAATAAATAAATACAAATATAAATATATAAATACACTAAACATTTTCAGGAAAATGCTGTATTTAAGTGTGTTCTCTGTCGATGAAGTGTTCACTTATTTTCTCTCAGAAAATCAACAAAACGTCATTTGACTGGGGATGTTTGTACTTATACATGCGACTGTATAGAAATGTGTTAATGGTTGTGACATCACAACCATGACGAATCTAAACTGGACTGTTTTTGCAGCTTGGTATCCATACATGGACTGAGGAATGACCGATATGTTTTGAAACTCTTGTATCTCAAACTCATTTAGTTCATGTGGCCTCTTTAATATCAAAACATGCTTTTTTTATTGCTGCTGATAAAAGCGACTTCTACGGGTTAAGAAGGCCGCCGCCCCTGTGCTCCCATGCTGCTCCACCAGCAATATTGCATTTTCATCATTTTCATCTTCCCCTTTCTGCTGTATTTGTGTGGCGGTGCTGCTCCTCCCTGGGGAAATAATAGTTGTTTGCAGTCATGTTCATTTCGTGATATTTGGCTGTGCGAGCCTTTTTGTGTGCGCTCGTATGCTCTGTTTTGAAAATGCGCCCGCCTTGTTGTGGGTAGCGGTAGTATTTTTTGGTTCCCTTCGGCCCGCCGTGCGCTCACACACACTCTCGCTCATTTGTTTATTCCGTTCCTGTTTTCTAGCTTGAAGATAAGACGGCAACGTTGGGCACTTTGTAGTCAGGTGCAGCCTCTGTCAGGACAATTAATGGCTCTTTATTTATTTATTCATTTTTTTTTGCTGACAGAGCCACAGTTGTGTGAAAGGCGTGTGTGTGTGTGTTTGGCGGGTGGGGGGAGGGTGGTTTAGGGGATTTTGCACAATTAACCGTTTCTTTCATTCTCTCTCTTTTTCTTTTTTTCTTACTTTCCTTTTTAGACTTTTTTTCTATTGCCGTGTGTCTTCTCTTTCCTTCCTGCGGTGCATTGTAGCGTTATTAGGTACAATGAGCTTATTTTATCCGAGGCTGTGTCTATCAACAGTACGTGTGTTCTGAATATATATTCAGAATATAGTTAGAAATCTTGTGTGTTTAGATGCAAAATATAGTTTTAAGGTGAATGATAGTGGCATTGTTCATAAAGGTGTTGAACGGTTTGTTCCAGCAGCACCCCAGGTGAAGTTAAGGTCAAGCAATGAAAGTAATTTAGGTCAGCCTACAGATATGACACATCGGCGGCTTTGCACCCTTCACCTCTGGATGTTTATCAGCAGTGAAATTAGTCATTTCTAAATGACTCTAGGTGTTCCTGCAGTTACTGATGGATGTGACCCACTAAACCTCCTTGCTTTGGATGCTACTGTAATGTGTTCTGCTCTTATGTCAAATAATGACGTGAATTCTGCAACATGAAAAATTTCAATACTTGCAGCTCCATAGGAAGAACATTTGAAGTATATTCTAAGTTTTTTGAATGATTTTTCCTCCCTAAATTCAAATACTGAGTGTAAAAGTTTTCAGTGCATCTCAAAACAAAGAATATTGTTCAGATATGCACTGCTTGTCTCAGTGTTTCATTTTAAGGAGTAGTTCAGCAATAAATCATGTTCATGACAATCAGTTTTATTCCTATGCAAGCTTGGAAATGAACAGAAATAGGAAAAAATAGCTTCAGTGCAAAACTGAAGAAATAAGCCTCAGACAGTTAAGCTGCCTGTGCTGAGGGACCGTATTTAATGTAAAGGGAAAATTGTCTAACTATTCCTTTAACTGTTGTGGTTTAGGTGAGAACCACAGTTTTTACTGTGTTTAAACTCAAAACGGCCGATTGTCCCAGACTGAGGTCAGCTGACTCCTGTGTGCTCTCTGTTCTGCAGTGTACGGTGACGTTCCCCACACCCTGTCGCCTGAATGGGTGGAGAAGCAGACCCAGAGGATGATCGACATGAGGGTGAATCCTGTGCATGGCTTCAGCCACAAATGGGACTATGAGAAGAAACAGTGGAAGTAGGAGAATCACTTTCGCTACAAGTTTAGCGAAACCCATCTTTAACCTGTGGAAGACTCAAAGCTCAACCGCCTTAAAACATATTCAATATGTCCAATAAAGACAGACTGGAATGTAAATGTGTGTGTGGCTTTTTTTTTTTTAAACAGTTTTCACAAAACACGTGAGATACTTCTCGGTTCTTTTATATTTTACTATTTAAAACTCCAGTAAGATTCCTCAAACCAGGCCTCAGCCTCAGTGGGATTAGCTTAGAGTCAGCAGAACAGAAAGCATGGTAACTGTAAATACTACTTCCATTAGTTTTGTCGTAGTGAATCGTTCAAAGGTTTCGAATCACCTTTTTCAGTAATATCAAATAGATTTATTGAATACATATGAGGGGAGAGGACCTGCCCCAGGTGGAGGAGGTCCTCGGGGTCTTGTTGATGAGTGATGGGAAGAGGGATGGTGAGATCGGTTACAGGCTGGGACAGGCGGCAGCCTGTACCGGACTGTAGTGGTGAAGAGGGAGCTGAGCCAGAAGGCAAAGCTCTCTGTTTACCTACAGTGAGGGTCATGAGCTGTGGGTAATGACCGAAAGAATAAGATCGCAATTACAAGTGGCAGAAATGAGCTTTCTTCACAGGGTGGCGGCTGCACTCTACTTGACAGGGTGAGGAGCTCAGAATAGAGCTGCTACGCCTCCACGTTGAGAGGAGCCAGTTGAGGTGGTTCGGGCATCTGATCAGGACGCACCCCTGGCCGCCTCCCAGTGGGCGTTAACCAGGCACGGCCTACTGGGACGAGGCCCTGAGGTCATCCTAGGACCCGATGGAGGGATTGTATCTCCGTGTTGGCCTGGGAGCAGCTTGGGGTCCCCCAGAATGAGCTGGAGGAAGCTGCAGGGGGGGGCAGGGTCATCTGGGAGTCTCTGCTCTCCCAACTGCTACCGTGACCCTATCTGGATTAAGTGGTTAATGATGAATGAATGAATGAATATGTTTAAATGGCTCTGGTACGATGCTACTACTCCACAACTTCATAGATTTCAACTTATTAGTAGGAAGAGAAAAATCAAATGTGTCCATAATGATGAACTGGACAGTAGATGATTCCCTAATGATCGAGAAAGCTGTATAACATTGAGGATGAGGATGTAATAAAATTAATGTACATCATATTTGAAAAGTACCCCACCGCGACCCAGAAGGATAAGCGGTTTAGATGATGTATGTATGTATGTATATTTGAAAAGTGCTGATCAAATCTCAAGACAGACTCATTCTTAAGAAGAAATGGTAATTACAGTGTATTATTATCAGTTAGTTCCTTCTTAATGTTTCCAAAAACTTGAAATATTCAATAAAATATCTTAAGATACTCTATTCTAGATATACTAAATAGTCTATTTAAATCTATATGGGTACTTTTTATAGTACACATTGGAAAAGGTGGTTCTTTAGTAAAGAAAATGGTTCTATCTAGAACCATGAACACTCAAAGAATACTTTGCGTGATTAAAGGGTTCTTTGCATGATGACATTGTTCATCGGATTAATGGGGAATGTGCTGCGGTGCTATATTCTGGTGTTATGCAGAATATTTTTTGAAAAGGGTTCTACATAGCACCAAAAAGGGTTCTTCTATTTTTACAAGAAGAACCCTTTTTGGTGCTATATAAAACCCTTTTTTTTTAAAAAAGTTCTATATAGTACTATCTACAGCACACTGCAGTCTGATGCAAAGAGCCTTTTAATCACGCAAAGGGTTCTTTGAGTGTTGATGGTTCAATATAGAACCATTTGCCTTATTAAAGAACCCTTGGAGAACCTTCTTTTTAAGAGTATAATTGAAAAAGCATATTTCTTTTGAAAAAGGTTCTATGTAGCACCAAAGGGGTTATTCTATTGTTATGATGACAAGCTTGTAACAATAGAAGAACCCTTTTTGGTGCTATATAGAACCCTTTTCAGAAAGGTTCTACATAGTACCCTATACTGACACAATCTCCATCAATATGAAGAAGCATTTTACCATGCAAAGAACCCTTTAATTATCTACATTGTTCTTTGAAGGTTTATGGTTCTATAGAGCTATTGTCTTTACTAAAGAACCATTGAAGAACCATCTTTTTAAGATGAGAGGTTGGAGTTCAAAAAAATGATTAAAAGATACAGAGAAATTCTGACTTCTAACAAGCATGCAAGACCTGGTAACCACCACAAACTCCCCAATCAGACAAACAGAACCTTTTGGCTTTCAAGAAGGCAAAAAAGAAGAACATTTGCTCTAGAACGCTGAAACAGAACATGGAGATGTGGAGTTCATTTTTACAGGCTGATGAGAAAATACAACCAAACTTCTAAGACTGAACTTTTTGAGGTCTTATCCCAGCAGAAGTGAGTCTCCTGATAAGAATGGACGCTGTAATAAAGGCAAAGAGTGGACAAATTATTATTATTTATTATTATTATTATTATTATTATCTCTAATTGTTTAGGCTTTCATGTAATTATCAGTCCATTATGCAGTACTGTGCCGAAGTCCAATCAACAGCTTAAAACCGTTTATTTTTGCGCAATAAATGATCTTCTTCTTGTAAAAACACCAGATTACTTTGGAATAAGTAGCTGATATCCTTTAAGCTCGTTAGAAGACAAAAAGTTTGACATGAAGTATTGATTGAGCCGAAGAAGGTATTGACTGATAACTACGAATAATGCTGGGCTGCCATGATGAGAGGGTTGAAAAGAGTTAATTGAACACATTGCCATTCGTAAATCACTCACTCTTAAAAATGATGGTTCTTTAAAGGTTCTTTAGTAAAGAAAAGAGTTCTATCTAGAACCACGAGCACTCAAAGAACCCCTTGTATGATTATAGACTTCTTTTCCATCATTAAATGGTGCTTCAGATTGATGGTGAATGTGCTGCAGATGATTCTATATAAGACCTTTCTGAAAATGGTTCTTTGTAGCACCAAAAAGGGTTCTTCTATTGTTACGATGTCAAGCTTGTATATAATAGAAGAACGCTTTTTAGTGCCATATAGAACCCTTTTCAAAAAGGTTCTAAAAAGAACCATAAAAAACACATTCTCCATCAGTCTCCAAGAAACTTTCATGATGCAAAGAGGCTTTTAATCATGCAAATGGGTTCTTTGAGTGTTCATGCTTCTATGTAGAACCATTTTCTTTACTAGAGAACCCTTAAATAACCATATATTTAAGTGTACATTTATTGTATTAATATTAGTTGTGTTTATTCTAACATTGATGTTTTTTCTGAGCAAACAAACACTCACTTTTAATCTAATTCTCTCAGGTGCCTAAAACTTTTTCTTGATACTGAAAAATGAATAATTTGTATTTAATGGCCATTTTGGCTGAATATTAAATAAATTAAATGGTGATCTCTGACTTTTGTGCAGTACTCCCGATATTCAGGGTTGGGCAGAATACTGTGAAAAAGTATTGATGGCTGAATACCAAATACACTGTCCTCAATGTACTCAGTAATGTATTCTGTTACAATACATAAAAAAGTAACACATTTAGAATACATTTAATATACATCAGATGGAATTTCTTTTTTACTTAATTCACTGTTTTTCACTGTTACAGTTTTCTTCATGTAATTATTCTGTTAAAACATTTCATCACTCACAAACATGCTGAGATAATTATTAGTCTGATCCTTCAAAAGAGCTCAGTATCATTGAGATTAATAGCTGATCATCACATTGATTTATCAGTCTACTCAGGCTTTAGCAGAGCTCAGTAACACTGAGATTAATAACTGATCACATTGATTTATCAGTCTACTCAGGCTTTAGCAGAGCTCAGTAACACTGAGATTAATAACTGATCACATTGATTTATCAGTCTACTCAGGCTTTAGCAGAGCTCAGTAACACTGAGATTAATAACTGATCACATTGATTTATCAGTCTACTCAGGCTTTAGCAGAGCTCAGTAACACTGAGATTAATAACTGATCATCACATTGATTTATCAGTCTACTCAGGCTTTAGCAGAGCTCAGTAACACCAAGATTAATAACAATATTAATATTATATATTATTATTTATAATATTATAATATTATTTATTATAATAATAAATTCACATTGCTACAGCAGCAATGGCAAGGCATCAGGAAAGGGAACAAGAAGAGAGTTGACAAACAAGGTAATTAACCTTGTTAATTACTCAATGTTGCAGTTTGTTACTAATTACTGTTTAGACAAAATATTTAACACCAAAGATAAAAAATATAACCTCCACCCTTCACAAAATTAACAATATATACATTATAAATAGAAAAGACAAAAAATCTTTACACTATGAAAATATTTTTCATGTATTGCACATGGGGTATTGATTGTATTACACACAGGAAGTGGTGATGAATTCACAGTTTACTCGCTGTAGGTGTGTGAGGTGTAAAGGGGATGGGTGGGGGGGTTCTACTGGGAGCTGTGCTGGTTGTACAGTTTAACAGCAGCAGGAAGGAAGGACCTGCGATGGCTATCACTCCTTCACACACTTGAGGTGAAGCAGCCTGTCACTGAAGGAGCTGCCTACTGTTGCCAGAGTCTCATGCATGGGGTGGGACCTTTTTGTCAGCATGGATGCTAGTCTAGCTAACATCCTCCCACCACCTGCACTGGGTTTAGGGGGCTTCCCAGGACAGAGCTGGCCCTCTTAATGAGTCTGTCGGGTTTCTTAGTTCCGCAGTGAGGTCCTCTTTAGAGGTTGTCTAACAAGCATGTTTGCTACGCACCGTATGGCAATTTTAAAATAGTTGATAAACAAGCACTGATAGTGTTTCTTTTGAAGATTGTGTTGTTTTGTGGGTAATTATTCTAAAATATTCTCCTAAAAATGTGAAACATAATAATGAGACAGAACTGTGTTCTGAATACTGCTTTAAAAAAGTGTACCTTGGACTGAATACAGATACATTACATACCAACTATGCTGATATTTACCTTGTTGTCAATTATTTGTCCTTTGGGTGGTCTTTAAATGAAATGCCAGGCCAAATCATGGGTCAGTACTGGACATTGTTTTATTAAATATTCTATAAAATGGGCTAAACTAGTGACCATACCAAGACTGTAGCATTACAAAACCAGAACAAAACCACAGCCATTGTTAAATTGTCAAGATAAATTACACATTTAAAATAATTGATTAATTAGCATACATGTTAATGTATTCATATCACATGCTGCCCATTTTGCCATGGCAAGAACATAGAAGCCAGTGTGTCAATGGCCACAATACAATGTAAGCCTGCTATATTTGCAAGTTAAACTATTGGAGGGTACACGATTCAAATTGAGGAGCCACTATAAACATGTCTTAGAGCAAGGATAGAGCTACATCTGACATTGTGACATTTTTCCTTAGAAAGAAACCCAGTTTATAATTAATTAATCACAAATGTAATAACACAGAGGCTTAGAAACAGGTCGTGTATAGACGTATAATAGCCTTTGTTATAACTAAAACATTAATTAGTTCGAGAAAAAATAAAATAATAAAATAATAGTGAGGCAAAGTCCATTAAGTAGAGCTAAAATAAAAAAAATGCACGTTTGAAAATAGTATTTACCCATTAAAACCATAATGTTTACAGAAAAAGATTAAAAAGTAAGACTGAAACAAGAAAATATGTACATAACAGTTTAAAAAAGGATAAAGACAGGGTAAAATTTACAAAGGCTGTAGTGATATAAAATAGAAGAAAAAATAAAAGAGAAAAACAAAAGTCCTTAAGAAGTGGTAGTAAGTATATAGTATTTACCATTCAAATCATAATATTAACAGAAAAAATAAACACTGAAATGAGTAAATATGTACATTAAAGTTATGATGAATGCACGTTAAAAGAGGTGTAATTTGTTTTAATAAGCATTCTTTTTATATGTCTTATTTAGGAAGAAACATGTTCCACTCCAAAACAAGAAAGTTTTTTGTTTTTATTCATCTTTTTTTTATTGCAACGACTTTCAGTCAGCAAAATATTGTACATGACAAAGACAGAACAGATATGAAAGAATACATTCTATAATACATGAACATAGGCTGTAGTGATATAAAACAGACAGAAAAGAGAAAAACAAAAGAAAAGAAAAAATAATAGTGAGGCTAAGTCCATTAGGAAGAGATCAAATAAAAATACTGCATATTTGAATATAATATTTACCCATTAAAATCATAATACTTACAGAAAAAAATAAAAAAGAAAGACTGAAATAAGCAAATATGTGCATAAAAGTTATAAAAAGGATTATACAGGTAAAAAGAAGTCACTGAGGCATCTCCTTCTATGTTTTATTCAGGAAGAAAGAAAGAAATGTTCCTCTTCAAAACAAGAAAGTTCCTAATTTTTTTCAATATTTTGCAATGGCTTTAATTTAGCAATACATGGTGCATAACAAAGACAGAACAGATGTGGATGATGGGAATACATTCTATAATACATGACCACAGGCTGTAGTTATATAAATCTGAAAGAAAAGTACAAAAGAAAAAATAACAGTCTATTAAGAAGACACAAAACAAAAAAAATAGCACTTGTGTATATGATATTTACCATAAAAATCATAATATTTACAGCCTTCTCCACATCTGGATCTGTATATGAGAAGCAGCATATTTCAAACTTTAATAAAATGCTGCTTTTCTGGCGGAGTAAACTTCAGCGTTTTATTAGCTTACCCTCTGCTGCAAAAGACTGAATGAATGACGTACAGGATGGCCCCGCCCCCTTCGCCGTTTCAAATGACCACAGTCGTTCAGTCTTCCCCACCTCTCCTTACAGTAAGCCCCGCCCTCCTCGCATACGATTGGCTCTTAGTTCGCACGGCTCAGAGCCGTACGGAGAGAGAAGGCCCAATCCTAGCGCAGGTGGGCGTGGCTTTGGCACGGGTGAAGGGAGAGCGAGCAAGTCGTGGCTGAATGAAGCGTTACGGCGTCCTGCGTCCGCGAGCTGCAGCTCCACTTCAGTCTCGAGCGGAGCTCTAACGGTTAATTTTTCCTTAACCGTTCTTTTTGCTGTGGCTCAGGGGAGAAAAGCCAGCCCAGCTCGGTCTGGTGTGGCGTTTGGAGCCGTTTCTTCAGCCGTAGGTGGATAATAGCTTTCATTTCATTCCTCTTCCGTCTTTCTGGGAAGCCTTGAGCGCTATCCATGGGATTACAACACTGAAAAGAAGCGAGGAGAAGAAGAGAGGACGAAGAGTTTCTGTTTGTTTTGTTTGTTTTTTTTATATTTATTTTTTTTTATGTTTATTTATTTTTTTACGCCGGGTGAAATAAGGAGGTTCGAAATGAGCTGCTTCAACTTTCGCTAGCGAAAAAAAAAAGAAAAGAAATAAATAAATAAAAACTGAAGGGGGCGTATCCGCGCGTGAGTCGCGAGCGAGGCATCCCCCTCGAGCCTCACGCCGGCCGAGCTCGAGCTTGAGCGAGCTCGCGCTGCTGCGGAGTTCTGACCGTTGGAGCGGAGATGGGTTTCAGTCACCCGGGAGAAGTTGTGGAAGAATAATCTTCATCTTTTCGCGGCCGTTTCTGCTTTTTTTTTTTCCCCGCCAGATGACCGCGCGGGCGCGCGAGCGTGGTTCGTTAACGGCAAAGAAGGCAAAAGCGACGCGCGAAAAATGTCTCTTAGTGCTGAAAGGTCTGTTAGCGTCGAGACTTTGTGTTCGGAGACTGCGCGGCGCAGGAAAGCCTGTTGTGATTATTGATAATAATAATTATAATAATAAGATAATGTTTTGGGAGTGAGCCGCTCTCGTCGCCGCCCCGTTTTAGAACTAACTCGTTACCGGATTTCGAAAATAATGGCCAATGAAAGTCCCTACGACAGCCGGGACATCGTGGAGAAATACATCTACCACAAACTTCTCAAGCGAGGCTACGTGTGGGAGTTCCGCTCCGCCGCCGGTGCCGCCGCCGCCGCCGCCGCCACGGCCGACGACGACGACAACGACGAGGCCGAGATGCCGCGCGCAGGGCCCGCGAGGCTGCACCGGCTGCTGCGCGAGGCCGGCGATGAGCTCGAGCGCGCCTACCAGCGGGACTTCGCCGCCATGTGGGACCAGCTGCGCGTGGCGCCGAGCGCGCAGCTCCAGCGCAGCTTCGTGGCCGTGGCCGAGGAGCTGTTCGGCGACGGCGTGAACTGGGGCCGCGTCGTGGCCTTCTTCGAGTTCGGCGGCACCCTGTGCGTGGAGAGCGTGAACCGCGAGATGGCGTCGCAGGTGGAGCACATCTCGCGCTGGATGACCGATTACCTGAACGGACCGCTGCTGCAGAGCTGGATCCGGGACAACGGTGGCTGGGTGAGTGGCGAGGGGTTTACTTTGGTCACGCAGGTCAGAAGATCAGAGACACTCTGTCACTCTTCAAAAGATCTCCAGGGTGAAGATGGCAATGGTTTAGATCTTAAACTCAGAGATCTCCATGGTAAAGATGGCAGTGGTTTAGATCTTAAACTCAGAGATCTCCATGGTAAAGATGACAGTGGTTTAGACCTTAAACTCAGAGATCTCCATGGTAAAGATGGCAGTGGTTTAGATCTTAAACTCAGAGATCTCCAGGGTGAAGATGGCAATGGTTTAGACCTTAAACTCAGAGATCTCCATGGTAAAGATGGCAGTGGTTTAGATCTTAAACTCAGAGATCTCCAGGGTGAAGATGGCAATGGTTTAGACCTTAAACTCAGAGATCTCCATGGTGAAGATGGCAATGGTTTAGACCTTAAACTCAGAGATCTCCATGGTGAAGATGGCAATGGTTTAGACCTTAAACTCAGAGATCTCCATGGTGAAGATGGCAGTGGTTTAGACCTTAAACCCAGAGATCTCCATGGTAAAGATGGCAGTGGTTTAGATCTTAAACTCAGAGATCTCCATGGTGAAGATGGCAATGGTTTAGACCTTAAACTCAGAGATCTCCATGGTGAAGATGGCAATGGTTTAGACCTTAAACTCAGAGATCTCCATGGTGAAGATGGCAGTGGTTTAGATCTTAAACTCAGAGATCTTCATGGTAAAGATGGCAATGGTTTAGACCTTAAACTCAGAGATCTCCATGGTGAAGATGGCAGTGGTTTAGACCTTAAACTCAGACATCTCCATGGTGAAGATGGCAATGGTTTAGACCTTAAACTCAGAGATCTCCATGGTAAAGATGGCAGTGGTTTAGATCTTAAACTCAGAGATATCTATAGTGAATATAACAGTGGTTTAGACCTTAAACTCAGACATCTCCAGGGTGAAGATGGCAGTGGTTTAGACCTTAAACTCAGAGATCTCCAGGGTGAAGATGGCAGTGGTTTAGATCTTAAACTCAGAGATCTCCATGGTAAAGATGGCAGTGGTTTAGATCTTAAACTCAGAGATCTCCATGGTGAAGATGGCAGTGGTTTAGACCTTAAACTCAGAGATCTCCATGGTGAAGATGGCAGTGGTTTAGACCTTAAACTCAGAGATCTCCAGGGTGAATATGACAGTGGTTAAGATCTTAAACTCAGAGATCTCCAGGGTGAAGATGGCAGTGGTTTAGACCTTAAACTCAGAGATCTCTGTGGTGAATATGGCAGTGGTTTAGATCTAAAGAAACCCCTACATTTGCAATACAATTCACTGGCCGGTTTAGATCTCTTTAGCGGTTTAGATCTTAAACTCAGAGATTTCCATGGTGAAGATGACATTGATTTAGATGTTAAACTCAGAGATCTCCATGGTGAAGATGGCAGTAGTTTAAATCTTGACGGTTCAATGGTGAAGATATCATTAGTTTAGGTCTTAAACTCAAAGATCCCCATGGCAGAGATGGCATTGGTTTAGATCTTAAAGGTAGATATTTCCAAGGCAAAAACAGCAGTGCTTTAGATATCCATGTTAAAAACAGATGGCAGTGGTTTAGATCTTAAAGGCAGAGAATGGTTTAGATCTTAAACTCTGAGCTTTCCATGGTAAAGATGGCATTGGCTTAGATCTTAAAGTCAAAGATCTCAGTGCCAAAAGATGCCAAAGCCTCAGTTCATCTCTTGCACTGGGGCTCTCAGCGCCACACCCACTTTCTCCATGTGCAGAAGTGGAATGCTCATTTTCAGATGCTCCTTGGCAAATGTTCTGCCAGGACTCCTCTCCCCACCCACCCAGCAGAGTGTGTTAAATATCTAATGATTTTCAGGCTGTGAGCTGCTCCAGCGTCGACTTACAGTCTCCACTACCTCATATTCTTTTTGAAAGCTGGAAACTCCTTCTGCCTTTGGGGTCAAGCGCTCTGTGAGCGCTCAGCCTTGATGCTATGAAGTAGTTGTCAGCCAGGTGTCGGAGAGATTGGTGTCGTTTCGGTCTGGATTCACTTGCTGGAGGGTCTCTGAGGAGAATCTGGCTCCCGCCCTGGACTGGAGTATGAATGAAAAATCAGGCATATCCACCAGCACACTTAATCCTTCAGTCAAGTATAGAAGCACTTCTGCTGTGGTTTGGGATGGAGATGGGGGTGTGCAGAGCTCTTGTTTTACCACAGCCTGGTTCCTGCGCTGCAGTGCTTGTGCGTTGAATAATTTACAGCATAAATTGAAGCAGCCCATCACGGCTCTGTGCACTTTCATATGAGAGGATGAGCTCTGTCTGGCTGCCCGTATCGTGGTACCTCGAAATCTCGAATGCTGTCCTCCTCCTCCTCATCCCAGGAGAAGATCAGACTAGTGCTGGGCAGTCTTGATAAAATTCAGCACCACAGGATTTTGAAAATATCATGATATCAGGTAGTGTTTAAGTTTGGATTAATAAAGTTAATGAACCATTCCTGAGTTCTCTATGCTAAAATAATGCCTTGTTTTCATTGGATTATTTTGTTCTGGAGCGTGTTTCCATAAGAAAACTGACTATTTGTTTAATTCAATGCACTCAGAACTGTTCTTTCGATCTTTCAAACAGCCTGAAGCAGTAAACGGCATGCATTTCAGTTAACTGTCAGGTGGATAAAGAACACAAAATATAATAAAAAATAAAGTAGAAATGAAAAAAAACAAACTGCTTGGCAACCTTTTTTAATGGAATTGGATGTTAACATGGATATAAAGATCATTTTTGATCAATATCTTTATCTGAAAATCAATTTCACTCAGTGCAGCCATAAAGAAAAGTCTTAAAACTATTGAAATGATAATTAACTTGAGTTATATAAGGAATAGAAATGGTAGAGGATCTAGTGTGGAACACCTGGATGGTTCTTCTTCTGCTCCTTCACTATGAATGTGGCAGTGCCAGCAAAAATTGTACCATCCTGTCTAGACTACATTCAGGTTAGCCTATTTTCTGGGTTGGTTGGACATGCAGGTGGGAGGACGGTGGCCCAGTGGGGCCATTATTCCTGTCTGGTCTGCGAGTGGACTGGGGCAGAATTAATGACAGTCATTACTTAACACATCTGCCGCAGGTTACTCAGAGAAGGAGTAAAAGGCCTTTCTCGCAGAATGGGGTGTGGAGCCAGACTGCAGTCCAGACCCAGAAGAAATGACCACTTTGGGCAGACAGTCCCCAGACACAGCCATGCCCTTTCCCCTAGTTCTCATCTTCTCAGTCTTTTGGACAGCAATTATATTAAAGTGGCTATCACAAATTATACACGAATGGAAAAGGCAGACTGTGTTATTACAGGTGCTAGAACGTGTGTGTGTCTGTCTGAGTGTGTGTGTGTGTGTGTGTGTGTGTGTGTGTGTGTGTGCATTCAACTGATGAATGACTATGGTCAACTCCATCATTCCTTCAGGTGATGAGGCAGCACGCAATTAGGACACAATTAGCACAGAAGTACTTTAATGAGGTTTTAACTCATGTCTGCATTATTCACAAAGCAGCCGCACTCTTGTCCAGAGGCAATTAATGATTAATTTATTTCATTTTGTCATGAAAAGCATGCTTGGAGTTTGCGTCAAGACTGATATTGCAGAGGGAATTAGGTTGCGCACCAGAGCTGTACGTTATGCTTTTGTGTCTTCGAATTGGCCCTTAACTGCTTTGAAAATGTGGGATCTGTTTCAAAGAGCTGAATGCATTTCGCATTGAGACCCGCCGTCACCAAGGACATTGCATCTCTGGATTCTTTCAGCGGGAGCTGAATTTCTCCGATGCTCTTCATGCGTGATCCACGTGGCTTAAGTTGCCTTTTTTAAAGACGATAATTGGCTCAAATATGATTTAAACCAGGTTCAAGCTAATTATGACCCAGTTCAGCTCTGGCAGCCACCATAATCGAATGAATAAAACTGATGACTTTTGCAAACGGTAATGTTGATTAATCTGTTTTTGCTCGTAGGCTGAGGGTGAAGTCATCTATACCGCTTTAATGTAACCTTTGAATATCAGGATTATTCAGTCCTCCTTGATAACAAACAGAAGCATCTGCAGAAGCCAAATAATGGCGGAACACCTGCACTAAGTTTTCCTTGCGAAAAGCAATCAGAGGAAAATCACATACGTGACTGAGCGCTAATGGTTCGATATCAACCAGCGTTTTGCTGTGTAATCTGAAAATATTAGAATTGCTTTTTATGTGGAGTGCTTAAATAGAAAACTCTGATTGCTTATTTGTTTTCTCAAGTGTGTGACATACAAGAGGACTATTTTCGGCATTCACGGCCTGCAGTAAGAGTAAGAGGGCGCCCAAAATGTGCAAAAAGGACCTCTCATTTAGCTCTAAATTGGTCAGATGGCTTTGCTTTGCTGCCAAAGAGAAATGTCCTTTCCTCCCGCAGTTAATGCCGACTTATTATCCTCCTTTTGAATTAATGCGATTCATTAATCCTTGGATAAAGCCCCTGGAATAATTGCACAGTCTGCGGAGAATACATGATTCCGCCGTGCCGCATGATGCTGTTTCATTACTGTTATTCCAGACTCCCTGCTGGGCCTCCCCATTTACCCAGCATGTGATCGAGACCTTCATCTTGCTTTGGTCCTCTTTCCAATTGAATTTGGGATTCAATTGAGTTTCTGAAGAATTTGAAAGGCCCGTCTTTGTGCGGAGCAAGCAGTAAGCCGACTAACTGTAATGACACAATTATGTATCATGTTAGCCATGACAAAGCAAAAGGCATAATTGAATTGCCGATGTCAGATTGACATGTTAAATGTGGTTCTTGTAAATGGCGACAGCTGACTGAAGCACTTTGCCTTGGGGAGAATGCCCACTAGCACTGCTTGTGAAAGCCCTAAAGTTAGACTGGTGTAACCATCTGGCCATCTGTTTTTGGCTGGAGTGGCTGAGCGGATGCTAGAAAGTGATGCTTTGCCCCAGAGGTTCGATATGGTACCCTTGACTG